TTGGGGGCCCGTTCGCGCGTCGCTGGCATTCCAAGTGGGAGGCCCTCACGTTTTACATGTCAGCGGGGCATATGCAGCATGGATCAATAGTGTGGAATATATGCATCAGGTGCACCATGACTTGGACCCGTCCAACAAACCTTCGAGATCAGAAGGGCCCAAGCTGGTGACTCATCGTGTGAAGCAGAGTGAACATTATCGTGATATGGCGCTGCAAGACGTTGCAGCCAACTGGTGGGGAAGAGTTCAGGTTATTCTGCACAAGTTAGCACAGCATAAGAGACGTTCCAACGGCTTGAGTCAGACCGAAGCGCCGGCCGTTGCCGGCGCTAAGCTAGCTGGGCAGCCACCTGGTTCAGCTTCCAAGTCAGTCGGCAAGAAGCCAGATGCAACGAATTGGACGTCTTGGCTCACAGTTCTCACGGAGCTCCGAGATATCCCCTTCCAACAGCTGGATCTGTACGCACAGGAGGCTTTGGCAGTGGCAAGAAGAGCACGTGGACATGCTATTTCAATTTCAGTTGCAGAGTTCAAAGAATGGATTGGCAAAAACGAACATACGGGTGCGATTTTTCGGACTACGAAAGAGACCCCAGCTGCTGAGCAAGAGTATTCTACCTCCGAGGGTGCCATTTTCCATCCCAAGGACGTGGTGGACCATAAGGCTCAGCACTGGCACTCTTTATGGACGTCGAGAACGCCGCAGTCGGTTCCAGCAATTCGTGAGTTGTTCGATCGTATCAGATGGCATTCGGCCTCGGAACCCTTGACGCCGCTCACCATCGACGATATCAGAGCTGCTGTCAAGCAGAGCAGGACAAAGAGTCGATCGGCTTTCGCCGATCGACTTCGAGCGCCTGCCCGACCAGGCGCTGGCGGATCTGGCAGTACTGTATACGATGTGTGAGCAATGTCAAACTTGGCCATGGCAACTCTTGCCAGTACTGGGACGGCTGCTACCCAAAAAGAGTGCAGGCAATCGAGTTATCGGTCTAATATGTATGGTATGTCGAGTATGGTCGCTGTCGCGAGAGCCTCTCATTCGGGACTGGGCTGCGGCAAGCTCAACCGACTGGGAGGCGGCGATGGCAGGCAACTCAGCGTTGCGTGAAGCATATATGCGAGCTCTTGACGAGGAGCTTTTCACCAAGCTGAAGGCGGCGCATGGGCATGGATTATTAGATATACAGTCTTTTTACGACGAAATGGAGTGGTCTGTTTTAGTGGATGGAGCGATCAAATATGGCTTTCCACCAGTAATGTCAGGGCTGGAGCTGCAAACCTGTGCTGGACCACGACTTCTGGATCAAGGGGATGCAGTATCTTGCCCATTTCAGGGCACGCGCAGTATCATACAGGGTTTGAGAAGTGGGACGAGGATCGCAAAAATGGTAACCAATATGATCATGTCTCGGCTTACGGTGTGTCACCCACAGCTGCTGGAAAGACTCTGGATTGATGATCTTTCTCAGACAGCTGTAGGGTCACGGGCCTCGGTGCGAGAAAATCTAGTGGACGGTATCACGTCGACGAACGATCTGCTCTCAGAATATTCTCTCCAGCTGGCAAAGAAAAGCACGGTCGCATGTTCAGATATGCGCGACGCCAAGTTTGTCCAACAACGATTGCGGAGACGAGGCATCCATGTGGTAGCCGTGCCACAAATGTCTTACCTTGGTGTTGATCTGGCGAGTGGCAAAAGGCTGGGACGAGCTACGCGACGGAAACGGTTTGCCAATGCTCTCAAGCAACATCACAAAGTCCGACGATACGCTTTTGCGTCCAAACGTTTTCGAGTCTTGCAGAAAGTGGAATTGGCAAGGCCGCAGGCAGGTGCGAGGTACGGCCACCAGGTGCACGGGCTCCCAGCATCGTCACTACTGCACCTTCGGCGACGCCTTGGCGCAGTGTGCGGAGGCCATCGGCGAGGACGATGTCTGACAACCTTGTTAGATATCAGAGCACCAGGCGCTGATCCAGGGTATGCTCTGCCTCGTCAGTGCCTTGCTGAATGGTTGCGTGTATGGCTTGAGGTACCGCGTTTTCGAGTACCAGTATCGAAAGTATGGAGCGCCACAGTGTCAGAGTTTCAGCAGCTGGAGCCATGTCACAGGGCTCGTCACATCAGAGGTCCTCTCACCGCGGTTGTGCATTATCTTCTTGACGCAGGGTGGGAGATCCCTCAGCCAGCCCTTTGGTATCAAGCAGCTGACACCGACGGGCGCCAAGATGGATGGAATTTCGACGGACCAGAATTTCAAGGCAGTGATCAAGCAGTGGAGTTGCTGGACGCTTTTGCTCGTTCGATACAGCAGAGGCAATGGCGACAGGCAGCTGCTTCTACTTTCTGTGGAGGTGGCATGGAAGAAGGAGTCGACAATTTCAGTTTGAGGAAGCAGTTGTTTCGACTGGAGCAGATTCCCAAGGTGGGGCGTCGGTTGGCACATCTGCTACTTACCATAGTTGTCGGGGGAGCTTGGCCAGCAGCGCGTAAAGCAGAGGCTGGGTACAAAGTTCCCGCAGTGTGTTCAAGATGTGGAGAAGGCCCAGAGACGCCCAAGCACCGTTTCTGGGCATGTCGGTGCAATTCAGGTTCAGCAGCATATGACTTATCTCGAGACATCTGCCACAAAGCGCTGACGCAAGGAGATAGTATGGAGTGCTACTGGTATCGAGGGCTTCTTCCCTCGCATCTCACAGCTGTGGACCCTCCTCCGAGTGAGGAGTGCTGGCAGGTCAGCCACAACGACGACCTCAACCAGCACTACTTCGGCGAGGGTTCCGAGCTGGAGCCCCTTCTGATTCATGGCGATGCTTCAGGCGGCTGCGATACTCATGATCCTCGACTTCGTCGGATTGGGTTAGCTGTATCGGCTGTAGGAGAAGAGCCTGGACCAGATTCCAAATTTGTTTTCGGGCCACTGCCTGGACCCAGGCAAACGGTTCCAAGAGGTGAACTACTGGCCCTGCTCCTAGGGGTACGGTGGTCTTCAGGTTGCATGGTTTTCATTACGGACAACGAGGAGGTGTGCCGAGGATGGTGGTCTCAACTGTTCCTCAAGCCCCAGGGTACCAACGCCGACCTCTGGCGCGACCTTGGCGCGGAGCTCCGATCCCAGGATCGGCACCACACGCAGGTAGCGGTGGTCAAGGTCCCGTCCCACGTCTCGGGCGAGGAGGTGGTCGACCGCGGCCTCGTCAGCCGCTTTGTGGCTGGCAACGTCTTCGTCGACGAGCTGGCCGCCGTGGCTGCGCGAGCTGCGCGCGTGCCCGAGGCTCAGAGGGCGAGAGTGCACAGAGTGGAGCATGAGATAAGCCTCATTCGGCAGAGACTTCTGAGAGCTACGCTCGACGCCGCCGCTCAGGATGAGAAAAAGAAGGTCCCCAGGTCTGCCCGCCTTCCAGCCAGGGCCCCTCCTCCTGCCCCTGCCACGGTGGCCCTTTTTTGCTCGGCCCATCGTCTCTCGGAGTGCGGAAAAAAATGTTTAGTTTGCCGAGGGTCCACGACGGTGGCAGCGACTAAGGAGTTTCTTGGGTCGCCCTGTTTTCAACTAGAGTTGCAGACTGCGGGGGTTTTCAGGGTGCCTCGGGGGGAGCGTTTACATCTCGCTGGAGGATGGGTTCACCCGTCTCACATGACGATGTATAATGAAGTGTTGTCTCTCTGGTATTGTGCGGCGTGCGGTTCCTACCATCAGCAGCAGATCCGTGGTTTGGCTGATGAGTGCAAGGCCCCACCCAGAGCCCCACTTACCAAGAATCGGCGAGAATATCTCGACCGAATTTCCAGAGGTCTTATGCCCAAAGTTCTCAGCAAAGCTGAGAAGGCGGCTAGATCCTCCTAATCCTTTAATTGAACTCGCTTCGCGATCGGTCTTATCTTATCTTACCTCCTCCTCCTCCTCCTCCTCCTCCTCCTCCTCCTCCTCCCTCCTCCTCCTCCTCCTCCTCCTCCTCCTCCTCCTCCTCCTCCTCCTCCTCCTCCTCCCCCTCTCCGCCTCCTCCTCCTCCTCCTCCTCCTCCTCCTCCTCCTCCTCCTCCCAGGGCGCAGTCGAAGCGCTGTCACAAGGAACCCTCAACAAGGGGATCGGGGCCCCTCCCCTCCACGAGTGAAGCCTCGCCTTCCCACCGAGAACCCGAGGAACGCCCGAGGCCCCTCTCTTCCGGAGGTGAAACTTCGACTTCCCATCGGAAGCCCGAGGAACGCCCGAGACAAGCTGCAAAACACGGAGGGAACACCGAGCTCCTCCCCGACGAACAGGGTTCCTTCTTCAGCGGCCCGACTGTATCCACGGCGGCCGGTGCACGGGCGGCGGGCGGAGGCCGGAGCCCGCTCGGCCAACCCTGCCGAAGAGTGGGGAGGAGAGGCCGCTGCCGCGCGCGCGGGCCGTCGCCGAGGCTGCGGCCTAACGTCTTGGTCCTCCTCGGCTACTCCCTCTCCCTCTCACTCTCCCTCTATCTCTCCCTCTCCTTCTCCCCCTTGGGCCGCTCCTCACCTCCTCTTTCCTCTCCTCCTCCTGCCACCGGACACCTCCCTGAGTCTCCGAGAGCCACCTGGAACTTGAAACAATATCATGACATCCTCCTCCTTCTCCTCTTCCTCCTCCGCTTTCCCTGCCGCCTCGCCTCTCTCTCCTCCTCCGCCTCCTCCCCCTCCTCCTCATCCCCTCCTCCTGCTTCTTCTCCTCCCCCTCTTTCCTCCCAGTCACCCTCCCCTCCCCGTCGTCAGCCCTCCTCCCCGCTTCTCTCCCCTGGGGGGACAGGGAGGAGGAGGAGGAGGAGGAGGAGGAGGAGGAGGAGGAGGAGGAGGAGGAGGAGGAGGAGGAGGAGGAGGAGGAGGGAGGAGGAGGAGGAGAGGAGGAGGAGGAGGAGGAGGAGGAGGAGGAGGGAGGAGGAGAGGAGGAGGAGGGAGGAGGAGGAGGAGGAGGAGGAGGAGCGGCGGCGGCGGCGGCGACGGAGACGGCGACCACGACTGGGGGCGGTGCGGCGGGGCGGCTCACGCGGCGTGGGTCCAGAGCGTCCGGAGCTGCCAGCGGAGCCGCCGTTGGCCCGCAGCGTGGCGCCAGCGCCTCCAGGGAGGGAAGGGGGGGGGGAAGGAGAGGAGGGAAGGGGGGGGCGAGGAGTGGCGGGAAAGAAAGGAGGGAAGGGGGGGGGGAAAGAGAGGAGGGAAGGGGGGACGAGGAGTGGCGGGAATGAGAGAGGAGGGGGAAGAGGAGGGAAGGAGGGAAAGAGAGGAGGGAAGGGGGGGGAAAGAGAAGAGAGGGAGGAGTGGCGGGAATGATGATGATGATGATGATGATGATGATGATGATGATGATGATGATGATGATGATGATGATGATGATGATGCTGATGATGATGATGAGGAGGATGAGGAGTAGGAGGGAGGGAGGCGGGGAATAGGGATGCCAGGGTACGTGCGGAGGGAGTTCTCCTCCTTCTCCTTTCCCTTTTGTTCCCGTCCTCCTTACCCTCCTCCTCGCCGTCCTCCCCCTGTTCTCCTCCTCATCCTTTTCCTCCCCCGCTTGGGAGGAGCAAGGGCGATGGTGAGGATGAGAGAGGAGGAAGGGATGAGAAGGAGGGAGACAGGAGGATTAAGAAGGGAAGGACTGGGGCGCAAGGGTAAGTAGGGGGAGGATGACAAGGAAGCATGATAATGATTAGTTACGGAGAACAAATGGGATCAGAAGGAGGCGGATGAGGATGGTAACCAGTATGAGGGCGAGGAGGAGGAGGAGGGGAAGGTGGAAGAGGGAGAAGAGATAAGCAGAGAAGCGATAAGCAGAAAAGCGATAAAAGGTGGCTCTGAGGCTTCTCCCTTCCTTGTTTTAGCCAAGCCTAGCCCGCTAAAACTCACCGAGCGAATATAAGAAACTGACTCGGCCATTGTTGTTGGAGTTTTGATGTGCCAGTGCAATTGCTCGTTATCATTCGCACTCGCCTAATCCCACCGATGTTGTGTGTTGTGGTCAACATGGGGCGTTCACCTCCAAACCTCTCGTGCCTCTCGCCTCGCCATGTCCTCCCGCTGCTCCAGAATGGAGGGAATCGGTAGGGCGCAGGCTGGCTGATCGATTGTCTTGTTAGAAGGAAACTGCATACCGCGTGAGTAACATGACTTCTACTTATGTGTTCATATTCCTGGACATCCTTGGGCAATCCTGCCTGATCGGGCATAGGGCCACTGCGTATTTCTCTTTCCGCTGCGTACCCCGCCCCGCCTGATATTACCTGCTCGGCTCTGGCCTCGCGGACGCCGCTACTGCAGTCTTCTCACACTGGTCCACGATGGGGCTTGCTACCTATATAGGGCCGTCCCATTGCGTGCGGCGGAGCACTGTGTGGCCGCCGCTACGCGTTGCCTATGATGGAGGAATGCGGGCGGACGTATGATGAAGCGTGAATAGCAGGATGGGTCGGAAGGAGGAGGAGGAGCAGGAAGAGGAGCAGGAAGAGGAGGGGCGAGGAACAGAGGAATGAGGACTCTGACGGAGGAGATGGGAGTGTGGAGGAAGAAAGGAGGTAGGAGGAAGGAGCGAAGCAAGAAGAGAGAACAAACGTCCGAGGAAGCAGGTGCGGAGCCGGGTCGAAGACCTCATGGGGCGAAGGCCCGTCCGAGCCGAAGCACGGAGCAAACACTGCGGGCCCAAATGTCGCAGGCTGCACCGTCCGGGCCCACGGTGTCCGCGTGGTCCGGACCCACTGTGCCACGCGAGCCCAGCCCACCCCGGGTGCACACGCAAGGCGTCAAACTTGAAGCAACAATGCTGCTGGTAGGGTGCGCACGGGAGGGCTGCTGGCGAAACCGCCGGCGCCTCAAGGAAGGGGAACGGGGAGGGACGAGGAAGGACGCGGATTATGATTGAAGGCGGGAGGCGCAATGAATTACTCCCTGTGGGGTGCTATGACGAAACGTAAGGAATTGACGACCTGGTCCTGGGAGCGTGCCGCAATATACCGTTTATGAAATTCTGAGGCTGCGCCGACGGATGTTGTCATTCAGATCAACAGTGCGGGTGGTATTCATGATCCTGCGTAAATGGGCGACCTGTGGGCTCACCGTGTACGGTGAGGATCCTGATGGTCGTGCGCTGCATTGCACGGCGTTTTTGCCACACGAGTCTAGTTACAAGCCCTATGTTACAAATCCTGCAGCGAGGGAATGTGAGTGCACTGAACTGGCCAGCTCGCACGGCAGAGGGGAGGAGGAGGAGGAAAGTAAGATACGGGGGGGGGATGGCAGCACGCCAGTGATGATTCAAGTGCCTGGCGTAGGTCCTGGATCAAATTACCCTGTGACGTACCCAACCCATTCGTATCATGGGAAACGACGAATTGGCCGAAACTTGCACGGGCAATCAAATTGCAGGATCCGTTGTTTGATATGTAAGCTACGTGGGACACGCGCCTATGGAATGATGCGCAGGAGAACCGTACCAGAACGAGGGGCGACAACTACAGGCTCGAAGAGGACATGACGTGCACGAAGAGCAGGAGAAACGAAGAGCAGGAGAAAGACGTGCGGGAAACCCACTGTGCTGGGCCCCTCAGCAGCCCTCGAAAATGGCGACAGTTTCACAGATCGCAGCCCCCCAGGGATTGCGAGGTCTAATCTGAGTCTGCGGTAAGTACCCACTGTGCTGGGCCCCTCAGCAGCCCTCGGAAGTAACGACAGTTTCACAGATCGCAGCCCCCCAGGGATGGCGAGGAAACCTGAGTCTGCGGTGAATACCTTCTGTGCTGTGCCCCTCAGCCGCCCTCGAAAGTGACGACAGTTTCACAGATCGCAGCCCCCCCAGGGATGGCGAGGTCTAATCTGAATCTGCGGTGAGTACCCAGCGTGCTGGGTCCCTCAGCAGCCCTCGAAAGTGGCGACAGTTTCACAAATCGCAGCCCCCCAGGGATTGCGAGGTCTAATTTCAGTCTGCGGTAAGTACCCACTGTGCTGGCCCCCCAGCAGCCCTCGAAAGTGGCGACAGCTTCACAGATCGCAACCCCCCAAAGATGGCGGAGTCCCATTTGAGTCCGCCGTGTGTACCCACTGTGCTGAGCCCCCCAACAGGCCTCGAAACTGGCGACAATTTCACAGATCGCAACCCCCCAAGGATGGCGAGGTCCCATTTGAATCCGCCGTGTGTACCCACTCTGCTGGGCCCCCCAGCAGGCCTCGAAAATGGCGACAGCTTCACAGATCGCAGCCCCCCAAGGATGGCGAGGTCCCATTTGAGTCCGCCGTGTGTACCCACTGTGCTGGGCCCCAACAACCCTCGAAAGTGGCGACAATTTCACAGATCGCAGCCCCCCACGGATGGCGAGGTCCCATTTGAGTCCGCCGTGTGTACCCACTGTGCTGGCCCCCCAGCAGCCCTCGAACGTGGCGACAGTTTCACAGATCGCAGCCCCCCAGGATGGCGAAGTCCCATTTGAGTCCGCCGTGTGTATCCACTGTGCTGGGCCCCCCAGCAGGCCTCGAAAGTGGCGACAGTTTCACAGATCGCAGCCCCCCAAGGATGGCGAGGTCCCATTTCAGTCCGCCGTGTGTACCCACTGTGCTGGGCCCCCCAGTAAGCCTCGAACGTGGCGACAGTTTCACAGATCGCAGCCCCCCAAGGATGGCGAGGTCCCATTTGAGTCCGCCGTGTGTACCCACTGTGCTGGGCCCCCCAGCAGGCCTCGAGAATGGCGACAATTTCACAGATCGCAACCCCCCAAGGATGGCGAGGTCCCATTTGAATCTGCCGTGTGTACCCACTGTGCTGGGCCCCCCAGCAGGCCTCGAAAGTGGCGACAGCTTCACAGATCGCAGCCCCCCACGGATGGCGAGGTCCCATTTGAGCCCGCCGTGTGTACCCACAGTGCTGGGCCTCCCAACACGCCTCGAAAGTGGCGACAGTTTCACAGATCGCAGCCCCCCAAGGATGGCGAGGTCCCATTTGAGTCCGCCGTGTGTACCCACTGTGCGGGCCCCCCCAGCAGCCCTCGAAAATGGCGACAATTTCACAGATCGCAGCCCCCCAAGGATGGCGAGGTCCCATTTGAGTCCGCCGTGTGTACCCACTGTGCTGGGCCCCCCAGCAGGCCTCGAAAGTGGCGACAGTTTCACAGATCGCAGCCCCCCAAGGATGGCGAGGTCCCATTTGAGTCCGCCGTGTGTACCCACTGTGCTGGGCCCCTCAGCAGCCCTCGAAAGTGGCGACAGTTTCACAGATCGCAGCCCCCCAGCTGGCACGCAGCGACGAGCGAGGTAAAAAGCAAGGGGGAAGAGAGGGGCGGGAAGGAAGGAAGAAGTAAGGAAGGCGACGCGCGAGCAGTGCTCTATTCAAAACGAGAACCCAACGCAGGAGGGTTGGGAACAAATCATGGAGCGTGGAATGCGGCTGCATTCGCTTCGGAATCGTGTTCGAGGCGCACCATGGGAGAGGTCTGGGGAGTAGCGGTATCGGTTTCGCTTACCCCGAGGGGGGACCAGGAGGAGGTAGGAGGGGAGAGGCGCGAGAAGTAAAACTGTTGGGACCATACCAACCACATTCGGGATAGAGGCCATCGCCTCCTGCCAGCCAAGCACCCGTCGATGGATGTCCTTCCGATTTAAAGCCTGTGCCGAACAAATGCGATTCCAAGATGCGGCCAAACTGGCCGCACAATGTGGATAGCCAGCTGGCGGTGGCTATTCTATCTGAGTTCTCTCACCCCATAAATCAAACAAACCCTGTTCGACATGTTTTCCCTGATCTCTCCGTGTCGTTCGCGCTTCGGGGAGTTCTCTGCACAGCTGTCGTTTCAAAATGAGTGAGGTCGCGTCGATTGGGAACGATTGTAGTTCGTCAATCAACAACATTACTCGCCACATCTTGAACTGATATTGTTGAGCATGATCGCTTGTACGGTACAGCCGCGTCTGCATGCCGTGCGAAGCTTCTCTCGCAGCAATTGGCCAGCGATTGCGTCCATGCACCCGAGGCCCAAGACGGCGAAAACGAGGGAATGATACGGTATAGAGGAACACAAACAGTGGACACTCCCCCGCCCCCCAAAACCCAAAGCTGGCACGCGCGGGGAAGACTGCGGTGGAGATGCAGCTCATCCAACCCACCGCCAAGATTGGTCATCGGGGGGGAGGGTATTGACACATGATTGGTTCGCGCTAATTTCTTTCGAGGCCTGCAGCGGCATCAAACGCTCTTCGCCCCCGCTCCTCCCGCTCCTCCCGTGCCCCGACTCCTCCGCTTCTCCCGCCCCTCCTGCCCAGCCTCCGTGCCCCACTCCCCCCCCATGCCGGCTGCCCTCAGGGCCCCTGCTTCTGCCCCCACCCCTCTTCCTCCTGCCCCTCCTCGCCAGCCAGCTCTTTCAGCCGATCCTCCTTCCTCCTCCCGCCCTTCTCCCCCTTCTCCTCCCGCCCTCCTCCTCCTCCTCCTGATCCTCCTCCTCCTCCTGATCCTCCTCCTCCTGCTAATCCTCCTCCTCCTCCTCCTCCTCCTCCTCCTCCTCCTCCTCCTCGTGCTTTTAGTCCTCCTCCTCCTCCTCCTCCTCCTCCTCCTCCACCTCCCTCCTCCTCCTCCCCCTCTCGCCCCTCCCCCCCTCCTCCTGTCACTCATCCGCAGCCCCGGCGCGCACCTACCTTTGCGGTGCGAGGCCACCGGCGGGGCTAGGCATGTCGGCCGACGGGCTACGAAAGGGGTGCACCCATCCGGAAGGCCTTCCGCCTTTTTCCCCTTGGCGCTCATCTGGAGCGCCTGGGGCCCTCCTGGGGCCCTCCGTGGGGGCCCTGCAAGGGCCCTCCGAGACTCGCGAAGACTTCTAGTAATGCGTGGCCAAAAGGCCCTCTCTCTCTCTCTCTCTCTCTTCCCCGCGGGCAACTCTTCACCCCCACATTCATTTTCGATAACTCCATCGAAAAAGCTTCGAAAACCGAAAATACGGAGAAATGTCGCGATTGAAAACCTTGAGATCTGACGTCGCGGAAAACTGCAACCTCGTGGGGAAGACCACAGCCGGAGCCCTCGGCCCCTTCTCTCTGCGGGAGTCCTCCAGCCGGATTGATCCGTGAGTAGACGAAGACAAAACTACATAAACATACACTTTTGGCGCTGCGCGCAGATTTTTCTTGGATCTGCTCTGGACCCCCCTCCCTTGCGCGCGGAGCGCGCCAGGGGCGGCGCCTCTTAGTCGAGACAGGGCGATTGATGCCCAGAGCGAACAAAAAGCTACAACGTCCGAATCTTAGGGGATGCCAGTCCGCTGAAGGCCTCGGCTCTGGCAGCGCCCGAGAGATCTCCGGATCTCAAGCCCTGGCAGGGCCTGAGACCTTGGCTCCTCGCCCGCCGCGGGGACCGCGCCGGACCCGACCGACAAGCGGTGCTTTCCACTACTCGCAAAGTAACTACTCGCATAGGGTCTGTGCTTTTTTCGATGCAGGCATATGTTTTTTCGGGCGTTTGCGAGTAGGCACTTTGCGAGTAGTAGAACGCGCTCCGCTCGGTGACGACCTGTCCACTCGGTTCGGACGCAAAGGAGGGGACAGGAAAGCGGGGGCTGACCAATCAGCAGCGCGTGCAGGTGGCCTCTTCTGGGCGCCCCCCGCGGCGCTGGGGGCGCCAACGTCCATCGAGGACGGCGTCCGCCAGCGGGGCCGAAGCCAAGTGCCTGCAGCAGATTTCGCGGCCTCCCCTTCCCCCCATGCCCCCCTCCTTCTCGCCATCGCTCGGACGCCCACTTCCCGCGCATTTGTCGGCTTCGTGCGTGCTGCCCTCGTTCTGCTCGAGAACCCAGGATGCTGCTCGAGGGCCCTCGCCGAGAAGAGCTGCACACGTCCCAACGACGCCCAGCCCCTGCCTGCCCCTCTCCCTCGCCCGACCCGCGCCCACGGCGGGGCCCGGCGGCGCGCCCGCCTGAGTTGGCCCGCGCCGGCGGAGGAACGCCCGCGCCTCGGGGGGGGGGCGGCGGGAGGACGGCGAGGGACGAGGAGGGGAAGGGGATCCCCTTACCCTCCTCGTCCCTCCTCCTCTCTCCTCCCCCTCCTCCTCCTCTCCTCGACGGGATCGTCTCCTCCTCTCCTCCTCCCCTCGAGGGGAGGAGGAGGGGAGGAGACGATCAGGAGACCATTGCCAACCAGTGCCGGGAGCGAGAGCGAGAGCGATAGAGAGAGAGAGAGAGACACTGCAACCCGGGGCGGGCGAGACGTGCGACCGCCCGCCGTGAGGGCCTGCGCCAGCGGGTTGCCAGGGCGGTGCGCAGGTGCGAGGGCGGGGCGGTGTGGACCGGCGTCCCCGCTCCCAGGTACCATGGGAAGCATTGTGCTCTGTTCTCGGCCCGCGACCCACCCGACACACCCGCGACCTACCCGCGACCCGCCCGCGGCCCACTCCGGGACCCACTCCCGGACCCACCCGCGCCCCCGGCCCGCGCCCCCGGCCCGCGACACACCCACACTGCTTGGATGAAAAGATCGGCGCCTGCGGCGGGCTCGTTCAATAATTTGGAAAGAGCCTCAGACTGCCAACGTGCCCGCGCCCCGAGAGGCACAAATCATTGGCTTTCCTGCAGTTTTTTTGACTGTTTTGGGGATTATTGTCTTCTCGAGCTTCCGACGCTCCAAGACGTCCCAGGGGGCCCCGTAGATCGCCCCCAAACTGCCCAAGAGACCCCTTACCAAGGCACCAGGACAGCCGAAGAGGGTTCGAAGACGGCCCAAAGAGGGGCCCAAGACGTCCAAAAATCGCCCCGAGAGGGCCACAAGATAGGCGAAGAGGGAGAACACGAACACCAAAAATCCAATCTTTCCGCCCCAAGAGGCCCAACAGAGGCCCCAAGGCGGCCCCAACACACGCTTCGAAACTGCCCCCAAGAGGCTCCGCCAGGCCCCCCAACAGCTCCCAAGATGCCCACAAACATCCCCACATCGTGCCCAAGAAGCCCGTGACCCCTCAACTGTGGACTCCACGCCTCTTCTGGGAGTTGGCCGTATGGCGTAATCTTCTTGAATACCTTTGTGTGTTATGTACCTTTGTGTTTTCTTGTCTGTGACACGCCCCACCCCTGGCGAAAGTTCGCTGCGGGTGCGCCTACAGCGCCGGCCACCGCCGCCACGTTCTGGGCCCTGAAGTCCTGGCAACACTATGGCAAGGGTGAGGACAGGAAGGATGATGATGATGATGATGATGATGATGATGATGATGATGATGATGATGATGATGATGATGATGATGATTATTATGATGATGTCAATGGTGCTGATGATGACGATGATGATGAGGATGATGATGAAGAGGATGATGCTGATGATGCTGATGATGATGCTGATGATGATGGCGTGCAGATGATTCTGCTGAGAAGGATGATGACAATGACGATAATGACAATGACAATGATGCTGCTGCTGATGATGATGGTGATGCTGCTGCTGCTGATGATGATGATGATGATGATGGCGGTGGTGATGATGGTGATGATGAGGGATGAACAGACAGAGGAGGATCACGAGGCAGACGATTCAGACAAGCAAGATGTGCATAGGAGAGCTGAGAACACGTGGTGAAACAACACAACACAAGTACGTGTCCGACTTAGCGTACGCGGAAGAGAAGGATGGCCATACCACTCAGGAAGATACCAGGATGCTTCCGAGAGGAGGCTACCACGAGGGCCGGGGGGGTGGGGGGCACGCTTTCTGGAGGAGCGCATGCGTAGTTGGGGTGTCCTTCTCGAGAAATCAGACGAACACACGGCGGCATGCTCGTCCTCCCCCCACATCCTCGCCCTCTTGCTGCTCCTCCTCCACCTCATCCTCGTTGTCGTCCGGCTTCTATTCCACTTCGCTCTTGCCCTCGCCCTCATTCCATGAAAGCCCATTTCTTCCTGCTCCGTTTTGTTCCTTTCCTCGGCATCTAGGCGCATGCCGCATGCAGGCAGCTCGGTTGGAAGTTAACACCGCGCATGGGCTAGATTTCCTTCTCCTCCTTCTAAATGTCCCTCGCTCACCCTTCCCCCTGTCTTCTCCCTCTCTCTATTCTTGTTCTCTCTCCCTCTCTCTTCCTCCATGCCTCGGCCTCTCTCTCTTTCTCTCCGTGCCTGCCTGCCTGCTTGCCTGCCTGCCTTCTGTCTGCCTGCCTGTCTGTGTCTGTCTGTCTGCCTGCCTGCCTGCCTGTCTGTGTCTGTCTGTCTGTCTGTCCGTCTGTCCCTGTCCATATCCCTCTCCTCATTCCTGCTCCTGTCCATGAAGCCGTCTCGCTCCTCCACCCTCCTACCTCCTCAGATCCACCTGAAACACTGAAGGGGCCCTGGGACACACAAATAAATACACACCAGTAAAAGAGATTCCCAATATTTTCTCATATTGTCTGGGTTTTCGTCTTCCCCCCCACTTCCCATATCTTCCCATATTTTCCTGGGAATCGACGATTCATCGTGTCTGTGTGTCTTTTCCCCTCCTGAAGCACTGGAAAGCCTCCTGGACTCCCCTGAGACCGTCAACAATGAACATCGCACAGACCACCCTTCGGGTGATACGGAGGTTGGGTGCAGCTCGATCCGCATCGGACGGCACCGATCTGTCGATCTAATTGTTCTGTCCACCCATCAGGGCAAACATCCGGACAACCATTGGGACAACTATTGGGACGACCATTGGAACAACAATCGGGACAACCATGGGGACAACCGTACAAACGGCGGGACGACCACTGGGACAACCACACTGGGACGACCACCGGGACAACCGCGGCACGACCGCGGGACGACCATCGGATCATCCTTAAGGCCTGGCACGCCCTGGCGCACGGGGACCCGACTCATGTTGGAGGAGGAGGAGGAGGAGGAGGAGGAGGAGGAGGAGGAGGATGAGGAGGAGGAGGAGGGGGGGGATGGGGGAGGGGGAGGGAAAGGGGGAGGGGGAGGAGGAGGCGGAGGAGGAGGAGGAGGCGGAGGAGGAGGAGGAGGAGGAGGAGGCGGAGGAGGAGGAGGAGGAGGAGGAGGAGGAGGAGGAGGAGGAGTGCAGGAGCTCGCGCTGCTTCGCCCCGCCCGCCCGCACGACACACGGAGCGGCCCCCTCCGTTCCGCTTCGGTCTCGGCCCCCGACCTCCGACCTCCCTGCTTGAAGGGGCCCCAGGACACACAAATAAGTAATTATACACACATGAAGATATTATCCATTTTTTTTCCATATCTTCTGGGTTTCTGTCTTCCCCCCCCACTTCCCATATTTTCCCATATTTTCTGAGGAATCGAAAACTAATGATGTCTGTGTTTTTTTTCCTCTCCTGACTGCTTTCTTTCTCGAGGCCCAGGTCACGGCCGGCTACCTATCTCAAGCGTGAGCTTCCTCACAGCCTCGCCCGCTGCATCCAGAGCAGTCGACTCAGCCGAGGAGGAAGAGCTCGGATCACTGATAAAAGGCTCCCTCCCAGGGCTGAAGCTGAACGGTCTATTTTTTCGTTTTCGTCTCGTTTTCGCTCTCCCTCGCCTTTGCGTCGAGTCCGCCGTCACCGCAAAACGAAGTCGAAAACGGCCCACGAGATCGCCAGAAACACCGTTTGGGTCCAGCCCTGCTCCCTCCCGCCACCCCTGGATGGGGGAGCGTTTTTGGGGGGACCAGCTCCGGGGGGAAGTGTTAAGTCGGGCGTGTCCCCCTACACAGGGGGATTTTGGGCGACAGATAAAAGATACTCCAAAGTTACCCCCCAAATGCTCAGAAATAGTCAAAACATCGGCGCCAGACTATTTTTAGACTATTTTTGAATACTCCTCCTGTAGAGGGACACGCCCGACTGAAGGGAAGTGCCGAGATCGAGTAGGCGGCGCCTCGCCGAGGGTCGCAGGCCTAGGGGGTAGATACCAACACCAAGATCGGCGGTGCGCCTCCACCGAGGGAAGAAGATCCCGAGCTCGGTGGTGGTGGTCACGTTCTGGCTTCCAAGGTGACCGAGACATGACCACCGACACCGAAGTCTGGGACCATCTTCCCCCTGTCGAGGCAGCCCCCCTGTGTTGGTACAGTCGGGGCGCTGAAGAAGGAACCCTTCCCGTTGGGGAGGGGTTCCGTGTTCCTTCATTGTTTTGCAGCTTGCCTGAGGTTTTCCTCAGGTTCTCGATGGGAAAGCAAGATCTAGCTCATGGACAAAAGGCGCCCCGTTCCTTATTCAGGGTTCCTTATACAAGGATTCCAAAAACTAGACGGGCATGCCCAGCTCTCTCACGGACCTGCTCTAAAATCATATGTTGTTTGAAATCCCTTATGTTAAAAACTCTGTGTTATTTAACCTCCTTGTAGGTCAACGCCCCGACTGTACTGTACTGGTGCCCATTTCCAGGCCTCCAAGAGGGGCCTGACGGGGGGGCCTGGCTCGGGGAGGGCGCGTCGGCCCCCAGCCGTCGAGTCGCCGCCGTCGGGGGCCCGAGAGAGCCCACCCCGCCACAGAGAGGGCGCGGGCTCGCCTCAATAGGGTAAGGAACCCTGAATGAAGAGCGGGGCCCCTTTTGTCCAGACGGCCCCCGACGGCGGCGACTCGACGGCTGGGGGCCGACGCGCCCTCCCCGAGCCAGGCCCCCCCGTCAGGCCCCTCTTGGAGGCCTGGAAATGGGCACCAGTACAGTACAGTCGGGGCGTTGACCTACAAGGAGGTTAAATAACACAGAGTTTTAAACATAAGAGATTTCAAACAACATATGATTTTAGAGCAGGTCCGTCCCCCCCGTCAGGCCCTCTTGGAGGCCTGGAAATGGGCACCAGTACAGTCGGGGCGTTGACCTACAAGGAGGTTAAATAACAAAGAATTTAAAACATACGGGATTTCAGACATATGATTTTAGAGCAGGTCCGTGAGAGAGCTGGGCATGCCCGTCTAGTTTTTGGACTCCTTGTACAAGGAACCCTGAATAAGGAGCGGGGCGCCTTTTGTCCATGAACTAAACTTTGCTTTCCCATCGAGAACCTGAGGAAAACCTCAGGCAAGCTGCAAAACAATGAAGGAACACGGAACCCCTCCCCAACGAGAAGGGCTCCTTCTTCGGCGCCCCGACTGTACCAACACAGGGGGGCTGCCTCGACAGGGGGAAGATGGTCCCAGACTTCGGTGTCGGTGGTCATGTCTCGGTCACCTTGGAAGCCAGAACGTGACCACCACCGCCGAGCTCGGGATCTTCTTCCCTCGGTGGAGGCGCACCGCCGATCTTGGTGTTGGTATCCACCCCCTAGGCCTGCGACCCTCGGCGAGGCGCCGCCGACTCGAGCTCGGCACTTCCCTTCAGCCGGGCGTGTCCCTCTACAGGAGGAGTATTCAAAAATAGTCCAAAAATAGTCTGGCGCCGATGTTTTTGAGAATTTTTGAGCATTTGGGGGGTAACTGTTGGAGTATCTTCTTCCCTCAGTGGAGAGGCACACTGCCGATCTTGGTGTTGGCATCCACCCCCCAGGCCTGCGACCCTCGGCGAGGCGCGGCAGCGGGGAAGCGCCCCGAGGCCGGACAACCGCCGAGAGCCGACGGGCACGCCCGGAGCTCTCGAACCTCGAGCGCCCGAGCATGCCCTCGAACGCGCGGGCTGTCCGCGCCGAAGTCGTCTTCGAAGAGGGCCGGCGCGTGGCGCTGGATCTCGTTGTGGGCGGTGATCGACAGGTACACGCCGAGGGCCTCGGCGGGCGCGCTGCCCCCCCCCCGCTGCCGTGGCGGAGGAGGGCCGGGAGGGTATGGGTTGGGCGCGAATCACTGGGGGGGCGATAAATCAGACAAGCACGCCTCGCCATCGCTCGGACGTCCATTCCCTGTGCTTTTTTCGGTATCGTGCGTGGTTTTTTTCGCCAAATGATCAAGGATGCTCCTCGATGGCCCTCGCCGAGAAAAAAATGCACACGTCCGAGCGATGCCGAGACGCTCCACTACTCGCTAAATAAGTGCTCGCAAATGATCTGCGTCCGACGCGGGAGATTTACGGTCCATTACCGCGAGGCGAACATGTGTTTTTGTTTCGGACGTTTGCGAATAGGCACTGTGCAGTACATCGCCCAATCGAGGAGGGAAGGGGGAGGACGAGGGGGAGCAGAGGATGGGAGGAAGCTGATAGCATCGCAACTCTTGTCAGGAACTTCAATGGGAGTATGGTAATTACAGAGGCATTTCGCTCCCCGCTCTGGGCGGCCGCCGCCAGAGGGCCACGCCAAAGTGGCTGGCCGATGGGGAGTGCAGAGGAAAGAGGATGCTTGGTATAAATTGGTGCGTATAGCTTGGTAGCAAGGGCGAGGGTAAAAGCGGAAGATACGGCTGACGCGAGGGAAAGCAAATACGCTCCGTGCCGCTGTCGTGGGACGGTGTCCACTGCGTGCGCGGCTGATGTCGGCTCTGCCGCCGCAAGCCCGATTGTCCCCCTTACTTCTGGTTTCTCCCATCTGCCTGCTGCGAGCTAACCGTGCTCGCCGTCCCTCATCAACGCAAGACACCGCGAGTCGTGCGGAACTAGACGTGATTAATTCGTAAAATGCTAGCGCATGCGAAGGCGAACCCCCGTCTAATGTGAGGCAAAGGCTATCCAATACCTGACCCCCCCCCCTCTCCCCACGTGGACTCCACAATTGGGACGACCCGCGGGCATACATCTGGGGCGAACCTAATTTTCAAACCAACTTCCGTGTCCGCGTCTGCCGTCCTCGTCCTCTGCACCCCTGCAACGTCATTTGAAGGACACGTTCTTAATGTTTCTGCTCTGCTTGCGGCAGATATGTGGACTCCAACCTAGTGCGTTCCCCCAGTGGGTCTCATTCTAGTTTTTTTGTGTTGATTACTCGCCTTAGCCTGCCCCTCACAAGTCATACCGCGGCCTCTGCTTGAGCGCATTCGCCATGCAAGCCCCGAGCTCGACCACAAGAAACCTTCCACAAGAAACGCTACCCTGAGACCCCAAGACGTCCACTGATTTTTGGTGTGGGAACGTCACGCTTTTCCAATGGCATCACCATCGAAATCCAAGAAACCCAGGGCACCCTGGAGGCAAGCAGGGTGTTACTTGGCATGGGTTTTCGCTGTCTCGTTGCCCCCGAAAGGCAGGCCAATAAAGAGGCGGCGGGCGAAGAGAAGGAGGCAAGACGACGAGAGAAGGCGGCCCGTGCGGTGCAGCCCGTGCCAGGGGAGCCTCCTCCGCTGCTGGCCGCCGCGCTCCAAGGCCCCCCTCGGGCTCCCCGCCCTCATCACTGTGCTCCCTCGTCCCTCCGCCTCTCTCGGCGCTGGACAAACCTCCCTTCAGTAAACCTCCCTTTAGTGAAAACGGTCCGGGACCGAAGCCGACGGACCTGGACCCGCAAGAAAAATGACGGCCGCGGCGCCCTCTCGCGAAGCGAAAACGGCCAATTCACTAATCGACGTGTCAGGGTGGGGGGTCTGTCCACCCCCGATGGCTCCCGCTCCCATCTGTCTGCCCCCTCCTGGGGGCAGAGGGGGGGGGGGCGGATCGGGGCGCATCGGCGCGGGGATCTGCCGACCGGGGGCAGTCCAAACCTGGGTCCGTCGGAGTCGTATCCTGCAAGATCCTGCAGGATCCTCTGCACCCAAGCCCGGGCCAGTGCGCCCTTGGCTCTGCAGGATCCTGCGAGCTCCAGCTCGCCATCGCTCGGACGTCCATTCCCTGTGCTTTTTTCGGTATCGTGCGTGGTTTTTTTCGCCAAATGATCAAGGATGCTCCTCGATGGTCCTCGCCGAGAAAAAATGCACACGTCCGAGCGATGCCAAGCTTGTCCCTTGAGCCCCGATCCCCGCCAGCCTCCCCCGTGCCCCGGGCAGGCCGCGGGGCGGGGTTCAGCACTTCGGAGTCGAATCGGACCCCCCTCCGCAGCGGAGGCGAGTCGCCCTCGAGGGGTGCGCCCTCGGGGGAGCCGAGCCGCCCTCGCCGCCGGTGCCACGCACGGACATGCGGCATCGAACTCGCCGAGTCCTCCGGCATCGCTCCGGATCGAGCTGGTCGAAGCATGAACCTCCTGCGGGTCGCTGCCGAGCCAGCACGCCGTCATCTCCGCCATCGTCTACCACCAACGGCGCACGGGGCCTCTCCGCTGAAGTGCGTCTGGTAAAGGATCTCGAACAGCCGTGGCTACGAGGGTGCCCAAGGAGGCCCAATACGGCACGAGCATGCGAACATCGCACTCCTCAAATCTCGATCGGGGATCCTCCTCCTCCTCCTCCTCCTCCGCCTCCGCCTCCGCCTCCGCCTCCGCCTCCTCCTCCCTCCTCCTCCTCCTCCTCATCATCCCCCCTCCTCCCCCCCCCCTCCTCCTCCTCCTCCTCCTCCTCCTCCTCCTCCTCCTCCTCCTCCTCCTCCTCCCTCCTCTCCTCCTCCTCCTCCTCCTCTCCTCCTCCTCCTCCCTCCTCCTCCTCCTCCTCCTCTCCCCTCCTCCACCCCCTCCTCCCCCCCTCCTCCTCCTCCTCCTCCTCCCTCCTCCTCCCTCCTCCTCCTCCTCCTCCTCCTCCTCCCTCCTCCTCCTCATCCTCCTCCTCCTCCTCCTCCTCCCTCTCCCACCTGCAGGCGCGCGCGGCGCGCGCCATGCAGATGGGCGACATGATCATCGCGAGGCTCTGCACGTTGTAGACGAAACCCTGCGGACCCGCCGGTCTTGAGCCGAGGCCCCCTCCACAAGCCTCCCTCTCGGCGGCGAGTCCCCCCGAGGAGGAGCAGGCCTTCTCGGCAGGCGGCGGGGCTTCTCATCAGCCCTTTCGGCCTTCGGAGAAACAAATTCTGCGTCTTCGGGGGAGGCTCCGAAGACCTCCCGGAAGGCCCGAGGCCTTCCGAGCCTTCCGAGAAGGCCCGCTCCTCCTCACCCCCCCGCCCCATCGGATCGGCGAGCCGCCGGCCCTCCTCCTGTTCGTCCTACTGTGTCCTCTCCTCCTCCTTTCCTCTCTTCTCTGCTGTATTGTGTCACGTGGGGACAGCATCAGCCCCACGGGTTCCGAAAACGAATCGATCAAAATCACCATCGGCAAGGTCCCTCCCCCCCTTCTCCCTTTTTTCCTCCTCCTCCTCCTCCTCCTTCTCCTCCTCCTCCTCCTCCTCCTCCTCCTCCTCCTCCAAATAGGAAGTATGGGGAGGGGGATGGTCACATACTTTCGGACGATTTCGGCAAGGGCAGTCTGCTCAACCGTCCTTCGTTGGTCTCGGACTGTTTTCGCCTCCTGCTGGCAGAGTTTCGCCGACGCTCTGGGAGGTGTGGGGGGGGGGGGGGCGAAGATGATGAGGTCAGGAGATGGGGGTGGGGCGAGGAGCGGGAGGGTAAAGACGATGAAGGAGGGAGCTTGGCCCTGCATTCGGCGCCACAGGGGAGGGACGCGCGGCACGCCACTCCACCATCGCCCCTCCTCGCCCCCCCCTCACACTCTTCTTCCCTCTCCCTCGTGGTCAGAGATCCATAATCTTCTGGAACCTAATCCCACCAGCCATTTAGGGCGTGAGTGGTTTAGAGAGTTGCTTCTTCCAACCCCCCTCCTTCCCCTTCGGAGAGAGGTTTGAACCTCTCCCTGCCCCCTCCCCCTGGGTCTGGACGGGAGGTTCCCCGAGAGGTTGGAGCGTCCAAGATGGCCTCGGCGAGAAGGACAACATCATTGCTGTTACGACAGTTTTGGCTACATTTTGGCTTCCTGGGGTGGGGGCCCTAATTGAGGGGCTCCCCTCCTTTGATCGATCTCCTCCAAAATGGCCCCACGATGGCTCCCGAGGCTCCCAAGGGTGCCCCAAGAGGGCCCCAAGAGGTGCCCGGGAGGCCCCACGAGGCCCCCCCAAGAGGTTCCCACGAGACTCCCAAGAGCCCCTCAGAAGCCCTTCAGAGGCACCCTAGACGCTCCAAGAGGCCTCGGCGAGAAGGCCAAAATCGTTAAGCTGAATACATTCTTGGCTGCAGTTTGGCCTCCTGGGGGGCCTGATTAAGAAGCCCCAAATGGCCCCCGAATCTCGCCCTGATGATTCGGGAGGGTCGGACGCGCGAATTATCCGGGATTGCTGCGGCCCGGGGTAACTCCGGTTTGGGCCCCCGAAGCGCGAATCTGTAGTTACCCCTGACTGCCACCAACCCTGATGATTCGGGAGGGTCGGACAAGCGAATCATCCGGGATACCGTCGGTGGACAAACCTCCCTTTAGCAAGCCTCCCCTTAGTGAAAACGGCCTGGGACCGAAACCGACGGAGCTGGACCCGCAAAAAGGACGGCCGCGCCGCCCCCTCGCGAACCGACAACGGCCAATTCCTGAATCGACGTGTCAGGGTAGGAGGTCTGTCCACCCCCGAGGATACCAGCGGGGGGGCCAGGGACGCAATGAAACAAGACGAGGCGACATGAAATCTGGGGAAATACCATGGCCCACGCCATGATATCCCCCCCCCTATCCGACGAAGGCATCTATACACCACCACCGTGCCAGGCCAGGGCCATCCTGGGCCCTAGGATGGTGTATAGACCCTCCTGGCTCGGCCAGGAGGGCGTATACACCATCCTAGGGCCCAGGATGACCCTGGCCTGGCACGGTGGTGGTGTATACATGCTTTCTGCGCCCCCTAGTCATCGCCTCCCTCTTTTCCGCCCCCGAGGGTCGGACGCGCGAAGCATCCGGGATACCTGTGGCCCTGGGAGACCTCCAGCTTGGGCCCCGAGGCGCGCCGGCTGCAGCTGTACTCCCGGCCGCCCCTGTGCCCTGACGGTTCTCGCGGGGCTCGGGCGGAGGGCCTCGGAGAGCCCCCTGTGAGGGAGGGGCGTTGGCGGCGCGCAGGAGGGGGCTAGGGGGGAGGGGGGAGGGCTTCTTAGAAGGAGGCCGCTTCTTAGCGGGCGCGGCCTTGCACACAGTATAATAATATATATATATATATATATATATATATATATATATATTATTATATATATATATATATAATATATATATATATATATACATAAGCATCAGAGTGAGGAGGCCGAACGGTCATTCATGATCCCTGGGTGCGTGGCTGAATAGGGGATTCGTGGTGAGAATTCAGCTTGTTGCGTTGTTGTTGTTGTTGTTGTTGTTGTGGTTGTTGTTGTTGAACATGATTTATTCTAAGGAATAATTATTGTTGGGACCCCTGGTGCGCGGCCCCCTCGCCGCGCCTAGGCCGCAGCCACATTTTCATCATTTTCGTGAGGAAGTCTCAGGCAAAACGATGTGGTCCAGATCCGGTTGTTTTGTTGTCCCCCGTTTTCCCTTGCAAAAAACACTATAAAATGAAATTTCTTGTTCTAACATAGCCAAATTTCAAGAATCCTTTGCAAAAAACGGCACGAAGTGCACACTCGCGCGCGCAAGATGAAATCCTTCCAAAACCTTAGTTTTCGTAGCGATTTTAACATAAAAACATGAAAAACCCAATGGTTTTTTTTTTTCATCGCAGGAAATGCAACCCCCGACCCCGTTCGGGACCCCCCCTGGGGCTCTTCCGCCGCCCAGCGCCGTCAGAGCACAAGGGGGGAGGGCATGGCGACCATTCCGCGTGTCACACGAAAACAAAGATGACGGGAAAGAAGGAAGGGGGAGGGATGGAGGAGGAGGAGACGACAGGGGCGGAATAGCGAAGCAATGGGGTTGAAGGTCGTCGTCCTCGTCCTGCGGCCTTCCCTCTCCCTTATTTTCCTCCTTGTCCATCCCTCCGAACCTTGCTCCCCCCCCTTCTCCTCCTCCCTGCTTCCTTGTGCCTCGGGCAATTATTTGCCCGAGCCCGCGCTGTATCATCTGCGCGGGCGGCCGCGCCGTCCTCAGAGTGGCCAGCGCCGCCGGCGCCATGGCGCCCAAACGCGCCGCGGTGCCCGTCGAGATCAGATTCCTGTGCAAGCTCTTGCTGCATCAGGAGACCCTTTCCTTTCGCAGGGGTAGGGGTGCGGGAGAGGGGTGGAGAGAGGTGGAGGGGAGGATGGGGGGCTGTGGGGGGAACGGAGGTAGGGAGGTGAAAGGTGAGATGGTGGGAGATTCTGCTGTGAGGACGAGGAGGGGCTCGGCCACCCCCCCCCCCCGCGCCCACCGGCCCGAGGAGGTCAAGGCCGACGGCATGAGCGCCGAGTTGAGCCTGAAGCTGGCCGAGAAGCTTGCCGACATCGTGAAGTCCTTGATGCAGGACCGCCAGGGGGGCAGGGGAGTCGGGGGTAGAGGGGATATGGGAGGGCGTGGGGAGGGGGAGGGAGGGGGGCACAGCGGACCAGGAGGCCAGGGACGACATGAAGACGGAGAGGATGGTGACGGCGAGGGATGTCATGCAGACGGCGATTCCCCCACACCCGCCCCCGCCCTCCTAGGGCTCCTAATCCTCCTCGCCGACGTCGTCGCCACCGCCATCGTCATCGTCATCGTCGTCGGCAGCGTCGCCATCATCCTCGTCGTCTGCGGCGTCGTCACCGCGCGCACCGTTGACGGGTGGGATCTGGAGGACGTCGCCGTCTTCGCCGTCATCTTCATTATCGTTGCCGTGGCGTCGCCATGGTGGTTATCATCATTACCATCGTCGTGGCCATCATCATCGCCATCGTCGTCGTCGTCATCGTCATCAGTATCGTTATCATCGTTATCGTCATCGCCGATATAATCGCCATCGCATCGTCATCGTCATCGTCGTCGTCACCGCTTTGGACGGCATCGTCACTGCCATCATCCTCATCATCCTCCTCCTCTCGCTAAGCCTCCCCCCTATTCCCCTCGTTCCCCTCCTCAGCTTCATGATCCCGATCCTCGCGTCACCCTGCTGGTATTCCTGGCCCTCCCCGCCCTCGCCCTCCCGATCAACCTCCACCAATCCCCGCAGCCTCACCGCCGCCCTCCCTCCGCCGCGCGAGGAGACTCGCAAGGTGGACCCCATCTCGCTGATCGTCAAGCGCCCGCTGAAGGACATCGAGTCGCCCGACAAGGGCAGCAAGGCCAAGAAGCAGGGCCACGAGTTGGCCTTGCTGAATTCCGAGCCGTTCTTCGCCGCAGCTAAGGTGAAGAAGCTCGACGATATTCCGATGTGCTGGGTTTTCACGGTCTTCAAGAAGGCCGCTGCGGAGGGCAAGGAGATCCCTCAGTCAGCGATCGACGTGTGCACGAACAACGGCATGGTGGTCTACCGCGCAGTGCTGCACTGGATCACAGGCCCCGCCGAGGGAGGGGGGATGATGAGGAGTGGGTAGGCAGAGTGCGGATGAGGGGGGAGGAGTGATGATGTATGTGATGGAGAGGGCCAGCAGCAGAGGGAGGAGGAGGTATGTGGCGGTGACGGGGGGGGGGCGGCCATATACCCGTCCCTTCCCATCGTTCGGCCCTCGCCATCCTCGAATTCGTTCTTCCCCTCTTTCCGCCGTCGCCTTCTCCTCGTCTCGTCACCTCTTCTTCCCGCTTGCGCATTCCCCCCATCGCCCCGTCCCCTCCTCTTCCGCATTTCAACCTCCTCTCTTCCGCTTATCCCCGTCTCCATTTCCATGGCCTCCCTTCCTCATCATCATCCTCACCTCCTCCACTAGTTTCGCCATCCCACCCTCAGATACTCCCCCTCTCTTTTCCCCGAACCCTCACTCGCCCCCGCGACGCCCGCCAGGGCTGCCCGTGACGCTCGCCATCAGTGGCGACCTCTTGGA